GCGGGATATAAATGCGAAAATAAAATAAATAAAATAAAATAAATAACGAACGTTGTGGCAGGGGATGAATTTGTGAGTAGCTGAGGAAGTGTGCAGTGACTCACAAAAGCTCCTCCCCGGCCACAAATGTAGTCTTTAAGGTACTGCTGGGACTCTTGGCCCTTTTCTACCAGGTGGGGTTTGTGCCTACAGCATGTGAGGAGGGGAAGGGACTCTAGCAGCCTAACACGGCTGGAAGGAAGAAAAGAAGGGGGACGTTCCCATAATGGGAATGTTAGTAATGGCTGAGTTCAGACGGGCAGTTTGAAGCGGGAGGGAGTCGTGGCAAAAAAGACCCGGAACACTTTGTGTTTTCCCGGTCACACTGCATCGACTGATACTGGGGAGGAGGCCCAAGGGAACGTTCACACCGTTGGCCAGCCCCTGGCAGAGGCACAGCTGTAAGACGCGGCTTTCTATTTGGTAATCTGGAGATATACGCTTATGCATAAGCGCATAAGCCTCTGAGGACAAGATCGTAGGACGTAGCTATGTGAGGTTAAGATCTCCCCTTCTTGCTTAAATCTGTGTAATCTGTTATGATATTTTATTGTAATTTATTGTTTTTAAACTATATGTTATTGTTTTAACCTGGCAGACTGTGCCCTTGTTAGCCGCCCTGAGCCTTCGGGGTAGGGCGGGATATAAATGTAAATATAAATAAATAAATAAGGGCAAAAGAAAAATGCTGCTTTTGGTGTTCACACTTTGTTGGTGCGGGATGGACACGGGATAAATCGCACTTTCCAGGGTTTGATACCACTTTCACTTGGTATCTTTTAAACTCGGGAGGGAAGCGTTACGAGACGGGTTGAGTACGCTGGGGAACGCCGGACAGATGTGCCTGTGTGAATGGGCCCTTTAGTCCGTTTGTGAAACGTTTCTGAAACGTGCCTATATCGGGCCAAACTGCCAGTCTGAACTTGGCCAATAAAAAGGAATGACTGCAATAACGATTGATACAAAAACAAATGGAATTTTTGAAATGCAAAAAAACCCAAACCGATTGCCCATCCCCAGGGTACGATGTTTATACATCATGCAGCAAATAGCGGACGTTACCCCCAAAACCTGTGGTAGACCTGGCAGCAGCCTCCAGACATGCGTTGAGATGTGTGATATCAGGGCCTATGCCTTGCTGCAAACAGCGAGGAAGCAAAGTGTTTTTGGGAGGTAACCAGGAACGAGTGAGCCCGCTGTGATCATCCTTGTTCACATAATGATTGCTTGTGATTTTCTGTCTCTCCTCCTCCACCACCCAACTAGAATATGGAGAATTTTTGCACTGCAAAGGGAAGAAATTTACTGACTTTGAGGAGATACGTCAGGAGATCGAAGCAGAGACTGACAGAGTTACTGGATCCAACAAAGGCATTTCTCCAGTCCCAATCAACCTGCGAGTCTACTCCCCCCACGGTAAATACCGTCTTCACGCCAGCTGGGGGGGTGTACTGGCAGTGGAATTTATGATTCAGTCACTTCCAATGTTTGTCGGTGCCCAGGGGTCATTTCATAGAAAAAGAGGTGCATGAGCTCACTAGCATAACTCATTAGCATAGCTTATTTGCATATGCCACACCCCCTGACATCACCGGAAGTGTGTCAGAAGGCAACACCCACCGCTCAGACTCCACTAGACTGTTTTGGATTGCTAGCCATGGGGGGGATCCTTGTGCTCCTCATGGCCTGGGGCTGCTGGGAGCAGGGGCGGGGCTTGTTGCATGTGCCCACCCCCTGGGCTCCTTACTGCCGGAGCTCTGCCCCTGTGCGCTCCTGCAGGAAATGACCCCTGTTGGTGCCCATGGAAAGCTTTTATGTTCTCTTCAGTGTCTCAGTGAAGAAACCACTTCTAAAACTGTTTTCAGATTTCCGTATCCCAAAGTCTGTTGCACTGATGTAATTCACACTGAGTCTCGGTGAAAAAGGTGGACTATAAATATCATAGATAAATAAGTAAAAGAAGATGATGGGAAGAGACAGAATGCTACGTAGAGGTTTATACTTTTATGTGCAGTGTGGAGCAAATAGATAGGGAAGACAAGTCTGTCTGTCACTGGACTACAGTTCAGTCCAATGAAATGCGTTTGCAGGATAAATGAAAAGTAAGTATGTATTCACGCCAATGGGTGTATGGCAATCATTGCCCAAGATTCAGTGGTGGTCACTAGCTTGGGCGTGTAAAGTGCTATCAAGTTGCAGCTGACTTATGGCGACTCCAACAAGGGGCTTTTAAGGCAAGTGAGAAGCAGAGGTGATTTGCCGTTGCCTTCCTCTGTAGAGTCTTCCTGAGTGGTTTCCCTTCCAAGCACCAACCGTGCTTCGCTCCCGAGATCTGACAACGAGGTCGAGCTATACTATGCTGTCTTTCCTCTTGGTCACTAGCTTAGCTAGCTTCCAAATAAAGGATTAGACAAATACATGGAGCAGAAGTCTATCTAGTTAACGGTTGTTAGCTACAATCTTTGATTACCAGTTGGCTGGGACAAATACAGGGGGCTGACTATCTCCACCTTACCGTCCTTGCAGGTTAGTTTCCTGTAGGCTGAACAAGTTGAGCATTCATTCTGATCTAGCAGAGCAATTCTTAAACTAATGCTGTTAGGAGCCCTGTGGGCAGGGATTTGGCTTTCAAATGATCACACTGATAACTCAAACCATCATCTGCACTCCGAGCTTTTGAACACCGTGTATTTACTTTCTTCTGTGAGCTGTAAAATGCTCCACTGACATATAGAAGAAGAAGGCGTCTCAGAGCGGCTTACAATCTCCCCCCCCTTCCCCTCCCCACAACAGACGCCCTGTGAGGAAGGTGGAGCTGAGAGAGCTCTGACTGAGAACCGCTCCTGAGAGAAGAGCTCGGAGAGAACTTGTGACTGACCCAAGGTCACACCAGCAGCTGCAAGTGGAGGAGTGGGGAATCAAACCCGGTTCTCCCAGATTAGACTCCGTGTTCCTAACCACTACACCAGACTGTTTCTATTAGGTATCCCACATCAACACAATGGTTTTCTCATGCTGGACATCTTCCTCTCTTCTTTCGTCCTCATTTAGTCTTGTGTTTGACCTTGGTGGATCTACCTGGGATGACTAAAGTTCCAGTTGGAGACCAGCCACCTGACATTGAAACCCAGATCCGCGACATGCTCATGCAGTTTGTCACCAAAGAGAACTGCCTCATCCTAGCGGTTTCGCCAGCCAATTCCGATCTGGCCAACTCAGATGCTCTCAAGATTGCAAAAGAAGTCGATCCCCAAGGTAAGCCCAGCTCTTGTTTTTAGAGTAACCTTCATGGCTCTTCGGTTTCTTCATGTTGCTTCCCCTAAATTCCGATGAGCATGACGTTCCAGAGGCTAGAGACAAATGAGGAATTTCACATTATCCTTTTTAACCCGTTTTGAAGCCGTTTTTGATCCATCATGGAGTAAACCGGTATAGGGCTGCCATTTCACACATGGCTTTCCCCTTCTGGTAAAGAGCTGGATCTGAAGCGGTTTGCCATTTCAGACTGCCCCGCTTTTCCCCCCTTTTTCCCCGCCATTTCCCCCGCCATACGGGCAATCTCCGCCTTTTTTTTTTGAACATTCGCTTTAGAGCGCTATAGTGCTATAGCACTATAACAAAACACTCCAGGCATTCCAATGGGGTTTATATAATGCTGTTGCGTTATAGCGCTATAGCGCTATAACGCTCTAAAGCGAACACCCCCCCAAAAAAGCCGGAGATCACCTGCGCGGGCGAAAAACGGCGGGAAAAAGTGCATTGGAACCGGGAGAGGAAGCTGAAGACTACTTGGAAACAATGCTCCCTCTAAGCTGTGGAGTCTTGTGAGCAAAAATTCTACTTTGTGAGCTACTGGCATTAAAGTTGTGAGCGGGTGATTTGGCTGCTGTATAACTTAGTTTCCTTTGGAGCCATCCTTCCTGAGCTAAGACAAAAATGTGTGAGCCGGAGGCTAAAAAACTGTGAGCTAGCTCACACTAACTCAGCTTAGAGGGAACACTGCTTGGAAGCAGTTGACAGGTAAAACGCTTCAGCCCCATTTCCTAATCGGGACAGAAGCGTTTGTGTCTGAAATTACAAATATATTCCGGTAGGGAACCGGTTCTAAAACAGTTCTGTCTGAAATTACAGACCAGAAACCGTTTGGGAACCGTTCCTCTTCCAGATTATATCATCTGTCTGAAATTCCTCAAATATCAAGCTGCTAAGATCAGGTTCTTAACCGATGGCTGTCAGTGTGCCAGGTTGTGAAAAACTGTACGAGAGGGCCATTTATAACAACCAGAATGGCCAGCCACAAATAGGTGAAGCAACAAAAAGGTATTTTAGGCCCTGTTCACATGGAGGATTTGCCGCGGGAGAGCAACGATTGCATGGCAGATTATCCAGGCGCGATCATACCACAACATCTGGGAAGTGGAGCGCACCTGTGGCAAACCCGTGGCGTACCGCCGAAAATGCGCGATTAAAACCTACCTGCTCGAAGGTACTAGCAACCGGTTTGGCTTGGGCTGCCTCCGGAGTCCCTCAGTGTGATTGCGCCGGCCGCGGCTTTTCCCTCCGGCCCCTTTTTGATGCGCAGGTGCGGAGGGAAGGAACCGTGGCATGCCGCCGATGCGTGGGATTGCGTTATGGCGGCTCTCATTTCAGGTGCGCACAACATTCGGTTATGGCGGTTCTAATTGTGGCGGCGCAAAAAACCCCGCCTCCCCCCCCCGCGTTATCCGGCCCGTGTGACCTTAGAAGAGTAAACGTATTTGCAGCAAATGAAGACAACGTGATGCGTACCGTCCACTGAAAATATTATACTTTGCAGTTCATGCGGTCCAGCCAATTCCTGCGGGGTTGTGGTGGATATCTCACTGAAAGTGCTGAATGACAATTTTAAAAAGGGAAATTCTGTGCTGGGATGACCAAGAAAGGATCTGCAAACGAAGCGGTATAGTGTAGAGAAAGTGGATACAGAGAAATTGTTTTCCCTCTCCCATAATACTAGGACTTCGGGTCCTCCTACGAAACTGATTGGCAGTAGATTCGAGAAGACAGCCAGCCCTGCTTCACACGACAGGTAGCTGACTTGTGGGACTCACTGCTACAAGATGCCGTGATGGCCACTGGTTTAGATGGGATTTTAAAAACAGTTGGATAGATTCATGGAGGATAGGTTCTGTCGGTGGCCTTGGTAGCTGAATGGGACTTCTGGGCTCTGAGACCAGAGAGCAGTCAGCAGGGGAGGGCTGTCTGTCTGCACACCCTGTGGCATCTGACTGGCCACTGTTTGAATCTGGATGCTGGACTAGACGGACCGTTGATCTGATGCCCTATTACGTTCTTATGTACGAAGACATATGCGGTCCTGTCAAGTACATGCTTTTACATCCTTAAGGGTCTGCCACGAGGCTGAATTTCAAAAGTTCTCCTTTGAATGAAGGGACAGGCTTCCATTGCTACGCTTTATCACCCAGATCATCCCACAGAAAGGCAGCTGGAATTTCTGCTCTATGCTGCTTTTCTCAAACAGCTAGCAAGGTTGTCTCTTAGATAGGGGTTCTTTCGTAGAAAAAGAGGTGCAGGAGCTCATTAGCATAACGCATTACCATAATGTATTTGCATATGCCACACCCCCTGACATCACCGGAAGTTTGTCAGAAGGCAACACCCACCGCTCAGTCTCCACTGGACTGTTTTGGATTGCTGGCTATTGGGGGGGGGGGAACGTGCAGATCTGTCCTCGCAGAGGAGGGAGGGCTTGTACCTGAGTAAAACTTGGTCTTAAAGCTGCCACTGGACTATTTTGGACCGGGGCGGGGGGCTCTGCAACTTACCTGGCTGCTTCTTGCTCTGACTGAGGGCTGCTGGGAGCAGGGGGCGTGACTTGTTGCATGCGCCTGCCCCCTGGGCTCTTTACTGCCGGAGCGCCGCTCCTGTGCGCTCCTGCAGGAAATGGCCCCTGCTCTTAGAGAACTTGTCCTGTGTATAGCTGGGCATTTGACTTTACGCTAACCAAATGTCCTGGTCCCCTTTTGCTACTGACATATGGGAATGGAGATCTCATCTGTCAGACACAGGGGATGAAGCCAACTAGTGGCATGAAGCTGACCGAGGGACTGCCGCATAACTCTCATTGGTTCAAGGTGTGCCACTGTCTGCTTATGCCCTGACAGGCCAACGTACGATTGGAGTCATCACCAAACTGGATCTCATGGACGAAGGCACGGATGCTCGGGATGTTCTAGAGAACAAGCTGCTTCCACTACGGAGAGGTATGGGCCCCTTTTCTTCTCCTCCCCTGCAACATTCTTCTTCCCCCTCCTGTCATAGGGGGGACTATGACTCCTCGTTTCTTACTAAACTTCCACTGTGGTAATGCTGACCTGCTCCAGTCTCAGGAGCATCATCCCAAGGCTCAAGATAAAAATCACTTGGGGTGTGCAAAAAGATTCCAAAACCTCAAAATGGGTTAAAAAGGTCAAGCGCAAGAGCAACAACATCCGATGCTGGAATTTTAAGTTAACGGTCTGAAGAAACACAGACAAATAACCAAGATGGGTAGTTGCGTTAGTCTGTCGGTAGCAGTAGAAAAGAGGAGCTGTGGTGGCTCAGGTGGTTAAGACGCTGAACTGCAGGCTGTGGAAGGTCAGTAGTTCAGCAGTTTGAGACCCAAGTGTGCCGCAAGACGGAGTAAGCTCCCGTCTCTAGTTCCAGCTCCTGCCAACCTAGCAGTTCGAAAGCAAGAAATTGCAAGTAGATAAATAGGGACCACTTCGGTGGGAAGGTAACAGCGTTCCGTGCGCCTTGGTGTTTAGTCATGCCGGCCACATGACCACGGAAACGTCTTCGGACAGCGCTGGCTCTTCGGCTTTGAAACAGAGATGAGCACCGCAACCCTAGAGTCGGATTCGACTGGCTTTCGAGCAAGAGAACCTTTACCTTTACCGCAGTAGAAAAGAGCGAGAGCCCAGTAGCACCTTAAAGACTAACAGAATTTGGGGCAGGGGATGAGCTTTTGTGAGTCACTGCTCACTTCTTTAGAGGAGGAGGAGGAGGAGATTAGATTTATACCCTGCCCTTCACTACCCAAAGGTGTCTCAGAGTGGCTTACAAACTCCTTCCCCTTCCCCTCCCCATAACAGACACCCTGTGAGGTGGGTGGGGCTGAGAGAGCTCTTGACAGAAACTGCTCTTTTTCAAGAACAGCTCTTATCAGAACTACGGCTTGCCCAAGGTCAACCAGCCAGGTGGAAGTGGAGGAGTGAGGAATCAAACCCGGTTCTCCCACATTAGAGCCCATGCACTTAAACCACTACAATGCGCCGTGTGACTCACAAAAGCTCCTCCCCTGCCACATATTTTGTTAATCTTTAGGGTGCTCCTGGACTCTCGCTCTTTTCTACTGCTACAGAGAAACAACCGAGTTGTCCAGCAGTGAAGGACTTTCTCAGATTTACCAGGATGGTGGAGGGCTGGTTTGGGCCTCTGCCCCAGAAATTTGCCCCTTTAAAGAGCTGTTGCTGTAACAGGAGATTGGTGACGGCTTGGTGGGAAGTAGGTCTTGGCTTGGGTGGCCGACTGGCCACCCCCTGCCGCCTCCCACAAGGAGAAGAGTCACTGCAAGATGTTGGGGGTGTCACTGGGCACACGCGGCCTGTCAGGCCACTTTTAAAAACATGCAGGAGGTGAGTGATGAGGATGGCATACTGCCACATGTATCTGGCTCTGAATTCAGTATTAACCACCGCTGGCACCCCGCCTTAAACTTCTTAACAAATTTCGTTCAGGTTCCTGGCATCTTTATCTGTTTAACTGTATGCGGGGCCCTTGGAAAAAAGCAAGTCAATCCAAAGATTTTTAAAGACTTCTTTTAAAAAGTCCAGAGAAGGTAGCAAATTGTGACTCAAATAGGTCTACATAGGTCAGGGCCACAAAATTCAAAGGCGTCCCCCTGCTAACAGGGAACAAACACATGTCTTTTGGGTACTTTAATACTTGGGATCTAGCCTGTGTATACCAAGGTCCAAATTCAAATCAACACTTGGAAAAATTGGGGGCTGGGGTGGGGAGGTTCTTAAACAGAAAGGTTTTTTTTAAAAAATTTATAAACAGAAGAGAAGCCACATTCATTTAAGCAATATGGTAGGGCGAAAATAAAATTACAGAAAGGAAAATGTCAAGTAAAGACAACAGAAAACCGTTCCTTACAAAACTCTGTGCCTACTGGAGAATAAAACTTAAAGGCGGCGGGGGGTGGGCGAGACATATATGCACTTGGAGAGAAGGGGGGTTGTCCTTGGGGTGAAGCAGCAGCTTCAGGAGCTGAAACTGACCAGGCGGGGAACGAGATGTGGAGACAAGTCAGTGAAGCAGAGAAGCAGGACGCCAACTGTGAGGCATGGGTAACAGGATGAGTCCCAAATGGGCTACAAAAAGTGGGGCTGATTTTTCTGTGATTAAGGAGGGGATGGGGGGTTGGCCTCAGAAGATGGGAAGAATAAAAATGCGATCTTTCGAAGATGAACCAGCCTGAAAAGAAATCCTATGTCTTTACTACCGTACCCAGGGGAATTTTCTCCTTTTGCATGGAGTGTCTAAAGTGTTCCCTTGGGAAGATTTGGAAGTCAGATATGGCTGGGTACTTGTCATGACTGGGAAAGGGCCTATATTGTCTTGAAAATCTGGGTTGTTAGTTAGGATCAAATTTTCTGGGAAGAGGCTCTGAGGGCCTTAGGCGAAAATAACCCTTGACTGAATCCCTCCTAGGGTGGGTATTTGTGTGATCGATAGAGGAGCCGGCCTGCATTCCTTTCCGCCTCCATGTGACTCGCTGCCTTTTGATATCACCTTAATTCAGGCTCCATCTGTTTTTACTAGGCCCACCCTGAGGTGTACACATGAACAGAAAAAGGGGTAACCAGCCGTGACAAAAAAAGGGGAGGGCAGCAATGCTCCCTCTAAGCTGTGGGGTCGTGTGAGCAAAAATTCTACTTTGTGAGCTCCTCTTATGGAAATACTAGAGATAGAAATACCATTATCCCCAGAACTCTTTCTGTTAAATATGCTACCTGATGGAGATAGAGCAGATGAGAAATATATTATTATATATATAATCACAGCAGCATAGGCTTGCCAAGTCCCCCCGGGGGGCGGGGAAACCCCCGCCCCAGAGGCCCGTTCCCCGTCACCGCTGGATTGGGCCCCGGGGGGAACTCCACCCCGACGTGCACGTCATCAGGAAGTGACGCGACCACACCGGGCACACTGGGGGCGGGGCCACGGTCATCTGAGGGAAAACTCTATGTTTTTCCCTCGGATGGTCGTGGCCCCGCCCCCAGCGTGCCCGGCATGGTCATGTCACTACCAGGTGATGTGCATGTGGCGTGCGCGCTCCAGGATCGACCCAGGAGTCCTCCGCTTCAGGACGAGGTACGACTTGGCAACCCTACAGCAGCACGTATTCTGTTTGCCAAGTATTGGAAACAAGAGGGAATACCCTCAAAGAAAGAACTAATCTATAAAATATTAGAAGTGGTAGAAATGGATGAACTATCCACAATCTGACAGAGTAAAGATGAAGTATTGTTTAAAAATAGATGGAAAAAATTGTATATTTGGTTAGACAAGAAATAATGTATAAAGCGATAAGTAGATGACTCCAAAAAGTTTACTATCTTGCTGAACAAGATTTGTAAGATTACTTTACAATGGCTGCGGTCACACGGAACAGAAGCTACACAAGTGAGACGGAAAACAGGCGGAGTTTTCGGGCGCGATCTCACCAGCACATCTGAGAAGCGTAGCACTCCCGTGGCTCAACCGAGGCTTCCAGCCGAAACTGCGTGGCAAAAAAGTAGTACCTCGGAGGTACTAGTTTCCAGAAACTGCGGGGCAAGGGCGGGCGTCTGATCGCGTTTCCGGTGGCATCCGGCGCCCGCCCATGTCCCCTTGCAAATAAGGTGGGTTTTTTTTGTCCAAGTCTCTGTGGATGCGCACACGCACCCAACGGAGCATGCGCATTTGTCGTGTACACACACAAAAAAAACAGTTTGCCGCAGCGCACGCTTCTTCGTTGCGCGCCGGCTTGTCCTGTGATCAGCACCTCTCCCTTGCCATGGAACCTCCACGGTACCTCCACAGAACCTCCACGGGAGGTCTGATCGCGTAACAGCGCAGTAGTTTGCCCCAGGGCAAACAGCCATGCTTCTCCCCCGCAGTTTCCTGCCCGTGTGACCGGGGCCTATGTATGGTTTTCTAAAAATTCAAAAATAAAACATTAAAAAAAAAAAGGTTGTGAGTGAGCGATTTGGAGCCATCCTTCCTGAGCTAAGACAGAAATGTGTGAGCCAGAGGCTAAAAAACTGTGAGCTGGCTCTCACTAACCTTAGCGGGAACACCCCAGGAGTGAGGGCCTCAGGGACAACAAAACGACTTCAGGTCTACCACAAGCAGGACCGGTTCCGAGTTCTGAGGGGTCCTGGGCAGGGAGTGATCATCATCATGGCTCCCTTCCCACCCCCACCCCATGTGTCCCCTCCCCTTCCTGTCGTGCCCTTTCCCTGTCAGCTTGCCGGCTTTCCCACCAGGAGTGCCCCCAGACCCTTTGCTGCAGCAGGGGTGGTTGGAGCATGCAGCTGGGTGTGTAGATACCATAGCTGCCAGGAGCACCGGCTGCTGTGGATCCTTCCTCAGGGCCTCTGGGCAACACATGCATTCAGGGAGTGTATGTGATAGAGCATTTGCAAGCAGGCCGGGGGGAAACGTCCCTGCCGGTGCAGGAGCTGGGTCAGCCGCCCTGGAAGGCAAGCATTACCTAGAAATGAAAAGAACTAGTTGCTGCCAAGCTTGATTTTGCTCTGGAAGTTTGTGTGTCTGACTACGAAGGTATGACTGTGGATCCACAGAAGGTTCGCCATTTGAAGTATCTACCTGGCCCAACACTAACATTTGCATGTTTTGTGCAGAAGACCAGCAAGAATGATTCCTGGTCAGATTTTAGATCTACTCCTTTGAATGAGAGGGGAGGTGTTGAATTCAGAACTCATTTCAGGGCCAGAAACTGTGAGGTATCCTCCTTCGATATATAACATATTATATTTTAATAGATAACATACGTATTATATGGTGCGTGCTTAAATAGCAAGGTTCTGCTCCGAACATAACCGGAAGGAGCCCTTTCATGCATACGTTTATGATGAGAAAACTTCTAGTTCCATTTCTATGACGAAGGACAGCCCTGGCGTTATGAGATCTCTGCCAACAATCCCCTTGCCAGTTTTTTGCAACCATACCTTTGCAAGCTACGAGAACTTGCAGGGGAGAGGAGATTCCCGTTTCTCTCTGTTGGTTCTTGCCACTCCCCCAACCCACCAATGCACGTTTTTAACCTCCACGCTGACTTGTGTTTTCTTCCGCATTGTGTACTCCTCCCATCCACACCTCACATGTTTCCCCTTCCCTTCTCTCCCCTCTGTTGGCTCATCTATGCCCCTTTCTTTCCATCAAAATTTGGGGGTTACCTGTGATCTCACAATGTAGATTTTTTTCTGTAAACCTGGGTGCTTCTCTGAGTTTGTAGAAAAAGTCCTCCCCACCCATACTTCTCCTCATTGTGTGGATTTTTTGATCTGCACACTGCAGACAGGGTTTGGAATTAGACATGTAATTTGTGGATGGAAAGTTCTAAGACCTGGGAATTCAAGACAAATCGTCTTGCCTTCTCAAGTATCGGAGTGCTGGATCACCTCCCCAGCCCCCAACGTTTCCTGGTTTCTCCTTGTGAAACTTGTAGCCCTCTTTTTTTGGTGGGGGGAAGAAGATTATTTTGGTTTTCTCTAACAGAATTATGTTGCTTCCATTCAAAACCTGGAGACAGCAAAATTTCCTGTGGTTCTCATCTGTTCCTGGACGACACAGCAGTGGTTTCCATTTTCATTTCCTGGCAGTCATCTGAATGAAGGATGTAACTTTCTTTGAGAACACATTTCAAACTCTCCATCTACTTCCTGGTCCTGTAGTTATATCCATCACTGTCTAATGCCTTAGCCACCTGACTTTTTGGCCTGTTTTTCACCTAGGTTACATCGGAGTGGTCAATAGAAGTCAGAAGGATATTGATGGAAAGAAGGACATTTCAGCTGCTCTGGCTGCAGAGAGGAAGTTCTTTCTGTCTCACCCAGCATATAGGCACATGGCTGATCGCATGGGCACCCCCTTCCTGCAGAAAACACTGAACCAGGTACTGATCGCTTGACAGAATTAACTTGGCCAGGATTTCCATGAGGAATGTCAGAAACAGAAGTATTGAAAAACAGGCTCAGTTTGCAAAAAAACCAACAACCCCTGCTTGTTCATGGGGGCAATCACTCTGGTATTCCCTCTCTGCTCTCTTTATGTAGTAAGCCGACTGAAAATGAAAATTTTCAACTAACTTCAGTGTCAGGCTCCTTAGTCAGGTCACGCCACACAGGGCTTCATAAGAAGATAGCTGTTTATTAGTGGATCCAGTACTAAAGAACACGTGTACAGCTTGTGTCAGGAACGGCCGTCAGTACTAGGGCCTCTGACTTATAGTGAAATCAAACATTCCCCCTGTAAGCATGAGCCAATGGATATAGCAAAGCAAGCGGGCATAGCAGAAAATCCGTTAACTTCCCCAGCTGTGTAAACTGCAGCTGGAACATCTACAAGGTCAAGCGTAAGATAGCACACAGTAGCTGAGCAGGAGAGAGCTGAGAACGAGAAGGAGGGTACCCCTCCACATTCCAGATCTATGACAGGGCTACCTGACATCCCGCTAGTGGTGACATCCAAATCCAGGCACCTTCACTGGAGTTAGTTCTTACCCAATAAGTAGGATTCTTGGTCAGAATTAAACTGTGGTTGAGAATGCTGTTCACTGGAAAAGAAACTAACCTAGAAAAAAATAACCTCAGTTAGTGAAACCTTCCCACATTCAGGCAACATAGTTAATTGGAGAATTCTGTCTTTAGTCTCAGCGCAGGAAGATGAAAAGAGAGAGGTAGTACAGGGGCCCAATATTTAGGTTAGCTTCTTTTCCAGTTACTGGAATTCTTAACCATGATTAAACTGAATTTTACCATGCTTAGTTACTGCGGTTTAAGACCATTGAGATTTGTGCTCTTAGACTGGAGTAACTGTGCCTAAGATTGCAGTGTTTATTACCAGAAAAGAAGTTCACCTGTGTTAGTGAGGACACTAAGGGAGCTTTCACACATGCTAAATAATGCCGTTTCAATCCACTCCAGAGACCGTTTGCAAGTGGATTTTGCCATTTCACACAGTAAAATCCAGTTGCAAAGTGGATTGAAAGTGCGTTATTTAGCATGTGTGATGGCACCCCTACATTATGACAATGTGATTAATTGTAATTAGATGACAGTACTCTTCTTCTGTCTGTGAAGGGTGGGGAGGACGTTGGTGCAGAAACCCAACATGTAACATTAATTGAATGTATGATGGCTGGAATCTGCAGGACTTAGGCTAATGGTTATACTTATTTATTTATTTAAAATATTTCTATGCCACCTTTCCACCCAAATAGAGTCCCCGAGGTCGCAAACATAAAAACAGCATTTAAATGATGTACATTCTATGAAATGAAAAGATATAAATAAATATAACAACACAATAGGGGAGGAGGATCAATGGTAGTTACTGGGGGAAGCCATGAAACTTTGGTCAGTGAAATGGTAGGATAAGAGTTGAATCCATCCTACAGTGACTGCGGAAAAGTAGTCTGGTTGGCATCAAACAAAACAAAATCTTCACCCTCTGGCGGAAGACAACAGTAGAGGGGGACAGATGAATCTCCCTGGGAAGGGAGTTCCAAAGTTTTGGGGCCAAGACAGAGAAGGCCCTTTCTTGGGTTGCTACCCATCTAGCCTTAGGCTGGGGCACCTGAAGCAAGGGCTCTGAAGACGACTGGAATGGACAGGTAGGTTCATACGGAAGAAGGCAGTCCTTAAGGTGAGCTGGCCGTTAGCCATTTTGAAATTGGAAGCAAATTTAGCACCAGTGTAGGTGAAAAGACTGGAGTGATATGGTCCCTATGACCAACTCCAGTCAGTATTCTGGCCACTGCATTCTGTCCCAAAGGTAGCTTTGGGACAGTCTTCAAGGGCAGCCCCACATAGAGCACATTGCAGTAGTCTACTCTAAATGTTACCAGGGCATGCACCACAGTGGCAAGATCTTTTAAGCAAATGTCTCCTTATCTGAATTCATTTTGTCCCCTTCCCTCATCCCCAGTACTGGTAAATACCAGTCAACTAGTGATGGACAGAGCTGCCGCTGGTCCTCTTCTGCCACTGTGCTAGGCCAAAATACTTTTCTGCCATCGCTGTAGAGTGGATACAACTCTTATCCTACCATTCCTCTGAGCAAAGTTTGACGCGTTCCTCCTGTCTAAGAAGCCTTCCCCCCCAACTGAAGTTCCTGTTCCTCTAACAGAAGGAGGAAAGCTCCCTTGGGTGGAGGAAGCCCCCTTTGGGCAACGTTGGATCCATTGCATTGAACAAGATTTTTTTTAAAAAAACTGATCTTATCAACTTTACCTTACTGCACAGCAATTGACCAATCACATTCGAGACACACTGCCAGGCCTGCGGAACAAACTCCAAAGCCAGCTCCTTTCCATTGAAAAAGAAGTGGACGAGTATAAGAATTTCCGCCCGGATGACCCTGCCCGCAAGACCAAAGCTTTGCTTCAGTGAGTGACTTTTTCTATGGGTTTATTTGTTGCTTTTCAACTCGCAAAGTTATTTTCCAAAAAGAAAAGAAAAATCCACATTAATGATGTTGGGTCAAGGTAAAAGGTAAAGGTAAAGGTTCCCTTGCTCGAAAGCCAGTCGAATCCGACTCTAGGGTTGCGGTGCTCATCTCCGTTTCAAAGCCGAAGAGCCAGTGCTGTCCGAAGACGTTTCCGTGGTCATGTGGCCGGCATGACTAAACACCAAGGTGCACGGAACGCTGTTGCCTTCCCACTGAAGTGGTGCCTATTTATCTACTTGCAATTTCTTGCTTTCGAACTGCTAGGTTGGCAGGAGCTGGAACTAGAGACGGGAACTCACCCCGTCTTGCGGCACCCGGGTCTTGAACTGCTGAACTACTGACCTTCCACAGCCTGCAGTTCAGCGTCTTAACCACTTGAGCCACCATGTTGGGTCAAGACACGCAATTAAAAACACTTTTTAAAATGCGCTAGCTAAATTCAAGAGAAAGAACCATCAGGATCAGCAGGGGAATGGCTACTGTGTATGGAGCATCATAAAGGAGCAAGCTGCTCAGTTTATCCTTCCCACGCTTCCGTCTCTCCTCTTCAAAGCTTTAGTCATAGAGTGAACAAGGGCCTTCAGCAGCTCTCTCTTCAAACTTATGCCGGCTGGAAAAATTGGATACTAGAAGTACCATGATAAGAGCATGCCGAGTGTGCTCATCTTTATGTTTAGGTTTAATGTTACCACAATCTCTCTCAGCCTCTTTTGATTTCCTGACAGTTCCAAGCTGCAGACAATTATTTAAATTAAATTAAATGCTGGCTAAATTAAATGCTATTCTGTCAGGGGAGCTATTGGGATGCTTAAATAAGGTGTCTTACTCTGAGCGGCTGTGCCAATGTGGTTCTGGCCAAATCGACACCCTTCAACACTGTCTATTCGACTGTGATTTACTTAATAAGGCAAGAGATCGTTGGATAAAACCTTATAATTTGAGGGTTCTTTTAGCAGAGGTGGATTTTATTATTACATTGGCAGTTGCTAAGTCCTTTTCTCGGTCGATGAAGATTAAAAATAATTAAATTTTTACATTATGTAAGCAAATGTGTTAAATAAAGGTCCTTCTTTTTTTAGTCTTAGTGTGACACTGTTCAGAGCTGAATTGGCTGTAACAGCAGTATCATCAGGGGTCATTTCGTAGAAAAAGAGGTGCAGGAGCTAATTAGCATAACATTAACATGACTTATCTGCATATGCCACACCCCCTGACATCACCGGAAGTGTGTCAGAAGGCAACACCCACCGCTCAGTCTCCACTGGACTGTTTTGGATTGCTAGCTATTGGGGGGGGGGATGAGCAGATCTGTCCTCGTAGAGGAGGTAGAGCTTGTACCTGAATAAAACTTGGTCTTAAAGGTGACCCTGGACTGTATTGCACCCGGGGGGGGGGCTCTGCAACTTACCTGGCTGCTTCTTGCTCTGACTGAGGGCTGCTGGGAGGAGGGGGTGGGGCTTGTTGCATGTGCCCGCCCCCTGGGCTCTTTACTGCCGGAGCTCTGCTCCTGTGCGCTCCTGCAGGAAATGACCCCTGAGTATCATTAAAGTAAAGATATAGAGTGGAGGGACCTTGCTACTAAGACATTACATCCTCATTACATTGACGCCCATTTTAGGGCATCACCTGCTTTTGAGTGGAGCATCTGCCTGCCAATCTTTGGGGCATCTTGGTGATGTGTGTGGGGATGGAAACAACCCTTTCACTTTATTGTAACGCGTAGCAACAGAATCCCAAGTTGGCAGTCAGGTGAGACATCAAGGTCAACTCCTGCCCTGAGTGAGTGGGGGGACCTCGGACAGCGCGATGCATCCACCTGGGCAAGCAGCTCTAGAACAGATGACGCCCCTGTCTCCATCCCAGCCGTCTTCACTTCCAAGGAGGAAGGAACACAGAGCAATCCCCCCCCCCCAATACTGCTCAGATTTGGTGGGGAAAGATCGACAGGAAGGAGGCATTCCACAAGAACATACCACGCCAGTGATAGCACATTTGCACTGGTTTCAGATTTGCTGGAAGCAAATCTGAAACCAGTGCAAATGTGCTATCACTGGCGTGGTATGTTCTCCGTGGCATTCCTTATCAGGAAGCAACCTGCAGACTTTTGCTCCAACTGTACTTTCTGAACCGTCTTCCAAGGTTCATGTAGAGGACAGCGATCCATTTGCTTGCACAGGCAAGGCAGGATATAAATCTGAAACAACAATAATAATAATAATAAAATGACCGGAGCATGGGTGATGGGAATTCCAACAAAAAGATGGCGTCACAGCTGGCTCATAAGCAATGTTCCCTCTAAGCTGTGGAGTCTTGTGAGCAAAAATTCTACTTTGTGAGCTACTGGCATTAAAGGGGTGAGCGAGCCATTTGGCTCCTGCATAAATTAGTCTGCTCTGGAGCCCTTCTTCCTGAGCTAAGACAAAAATCTGTGAGCCAGAGGCTAAAAAACTGTGAGCTAGCTCACACTCATTCAGCTTAGAGGGAACACTGCTCATAAGCCAAAGCTGGCATGAAGCCCAGTGGGTCCATTTCCATGCTCTTATTTAATTTAGTGAAAGTACTTCCAGGCTGGTATGCTTCCCTTCATGGTGTCGATCCTTTTTCTGTATAGGATGGTTCAACAGTTTGCTGTGGACTTCGAGAAACGCATTGAAGGCTCTGGGGATCAGATTGATACCTATGAGCTGTCTGGAGGTGCTAGGATCAACCGTATCTTCCATGAACGATTCCCCTTTGAGCTGGTGAAGGTAAAACATTCTCTCCACCTTTCACCTTCACAGGTTGATTTTCTGTCTCTCAACTAATTATCTCATTTTGTTCCTTCCTCTCCCTTTCCCTTTATTATTATTATTATTATCCCTCCATCCCTTTTAAGTGTGTAAAGAACTTTACAATGCTTATGCTGCTTACTCTAAAAAAAAACCCTTAACGTAAGAATATAAGAAGAGCCCTACTAGATCAGACCAAGGGTCCATCTAGTCCAGCTTCCTGTTTCACACGGTGACAACCCCAGACCGTGAAGATCTTTCCCTGCTGTCGCCCTTCATTACCTGGTATTCAGAAGTGCACTGCTAGTAAACAGAGAGGTTCAATTTGCCATCATAGCTGATAGACCTGTCCTCTGCAAATTATTAAACTAGTGGCCATCACTGTGTCTTGTAGCAGTGAATTCCGTGAGTGGGTTTTGTGCTGTGTGAAGAACTTCCTTTGTGTCTCTTTTGGACTCGCTGCCATTTTACATTATAAGGTGAAGGTCACATAGTACACGAGCATTGACTTCCATTTTCTGTGGTGGATACCTGTCTACTGTTCCAGCCGATGCATTTGGTACATCAGTGTTTAAGAACATACGGGAATGGACCACCGCTGATTAATTTTCCTCTTGATGCAGATGGAATTTGATGAGAAGGAGCTCCGTCGAGAGATCAGCTACGCCATCAAGAATATCCATGGTATCAGGCATGTATCATTGCAAGAGAGGCAGAGCCTCCCCTTCATTGCTTTTGTGCTCTCTCTAAAGCTTATGGGTCCCAGAAGCCTTCAGAGGTATGGTAGGTTGGCAGACAGGCAGAGACCCTTGCCTGGGCTATTTGATTTTGAACATGGTGGTAGGTTCCACTGTTGGTCCCTGTTGGCTTTCCGCTGTTACCTGAGGCAAGGTAAAGCTTCCCTTCCGTTTTCTGTGGGAAACCATGTGGTGCAATCTGAAAAATGAATCAGCATGGGAAATAACATGCTTACCCCACCTCAGCAGTTGTTTTACATTCCTTTTCTAAATATGAACAAGGGTTCAGTCTCACAGTTGGTTCACGAGGGTGATCCAGTCCACAACACATCTGTTCACCTTGGTGTCGAACATGCTGGTCAGGCTCGCAGAACCCTCTGGGCAGCGTGCAGTGTACCAGTGATGAGTTGCAGCCAACCGGGAGCTTCGTAAGCATCCTGATTTTCGAGATGAATCATTGAGAATGTTTAATGCCAAAATGGACTGTGTCCCAAGATGCGTCACATGACGAGCATCCGGCCTATAAAGAGACATGACATGATCCTGTCAGGGAAAAAAGTGAATCCTGTCAGAATAGGAGTTTTAATACTTTTTATGCCAACTTTTAGTCAGCTTCAGTTTAGTTTATTGTAATTAGCCATTGGCCCTTACAAAATTACAACACACAAATTGTGAACTGACTGTAGGTTAGAGTCAGAATAGACAAAAATACCAAAGATGGTTAACAGAATAGGACTAATTTAATACAGTGGCCTAAACGATGCCCCAACTTCTAGTCAAAACTGGCTCACAGGACTACCCCTCCTCACACAAGTGGCAATTGAAATTTAACCTGAACGTTGCTTGGGAACGGGATCCTCGGGTGACCTGTATCCAGATGCCGTGGAGGAGAGAAGGAGGGTTTGGACCCCATCACTGATGACCTTGTGAGTGTCAGTGGGAACTGGGGAGGAGGGGGCTCTCAGCTGGCGTTGGATCTAGGCATGAGGGAGGGGGCTCCACCTGGGTTGCAAAAGGAGCTTTACCAAGCCCCCGGTGGGCTGCAAAGGTGTGGCTTTTATGTGGCGCTCGGTCCAGGAGATGCAATTTTGACCAGCCTGTGCTTAGCAGGCCAAAACAATCCCTTTGCTTTGTTGAAAACCGAGGAGGGGGGAGCTCGCCATCTTAAATTCCCCCATAAGGGCAAAACAGTGTTTGAATGTTCTGGGCAGAACAATCCCTTTGCTTTGTGGAAAACCGAGGAGGGGGGAGCTCGCTATCTTAAAGTCCCCATAAGGGCAAAACAGTGTTTGAATGTGGACCTCCTGGTTGCATACCGTGACCAATCTGGTTGAGTCTATTTTGTGCCCTTTTGGCACCCGTGTGATTTCTTGTGCTTTCTGACATCTCCCTGAAATCAGGGAAGGGGTAGGGGAGAACGTTATTCATCCCGTACGAGACCCAAATAATAAAGGATAACGTAGGGACAGAGCTTGGGTGCTACAGCTGTACCTAGAGGTTTCGAACCGTAAAGATCTAGTGTTCCCACAAGACGCTGGGCTCCCCTTTCCCATGCCAGTTCCCACCACATTGGGTGGGTCATCCAGTGTTCCCTCTAAGCAGCCCCGTAGCTAGGGAATTCTTTGGGAGGGGGCCTCGGGGGAGCCCGCCAGCTTATTAAATGAAAGTACAGTGCAGGTGGTAAGTTGGAGCACTTTGGGGGCAGCCCAGGAGGGAGGGGGCCCAGAAGAAACTCTATCTGGGGTGCCGGGCCCCAGAGGCCCCATGTTAGCTGCGGGCCAGCCTCTAGGCTGAGTTAGCGTGAGCTAGCTCACAGTTTTTTAGCCTCCAGCTCACACATTTTTGTCTTGGCTCAGGAAGGAGGGCTCCGGAACAAACTAATTTATGCAGCGGCCAAATGGCTCGCTCACAACTTTAATGCCAGCAGCTCAGAAAATAGAATTTTTGCTCGCAAGACTGCACAGCTTAGAGGGAACATGGGTCATGGCTAGAAAACAAAGATCTAAAGGCCTATATAGAAGTTGCAAGAGACCCAGAGGTGCCCCCACCAATGTTCCCTCTAAGCTTTGGAGTCCTATGAGCTAATATTCTAGTTTGTGAGCTCCTGGCATTAAAGTTGTGAGCGAGTGATTTGGCTTCTGCAGAAATTAGTTTGCTCTGGAGCCATCTTTCCTGAGCCAAGACAAAAATGTGTGAGCCGGAGGCTAAGAAACTGTGAGTTAGCTCACACTAACTCAGCTTAGAGGGAACACTGGCCCCCACTGCTCTGTGTCTCTCCCTGCGTCTTGTCCATAATACCTAGTTGATACTAGATGTGTGAGCATCGCACTGCCCCCTCACTGAATACTCTGAAGCAGGGGTGGGTGGGTGAGCAGTGTGTTTTAACTAAATGTTCCAAGGAGGGAGCAGGAAAAGAGACGCAGAGTGCCCAAAAGCTATTGTAACGTTTCAGCCTGTATCAGAAAGCAGACCCCCGTAGGATTCCTCCCCCCTAGCCCCGAGTTTTTAAGTTCCACCCGGCACAACCAAGCTGGTTATCTGTGATGTCAGCAGCTGCTCCGAAATTTTATATGTAATGCTATGACGTTCTCCTCGCCCCATCCCAAACCCTCCGTCTCCCTCCCGCTTTGTCTTATTCCCCCCCACCTCGTCCTGGGTGTTTAGAACCGGTCTGTTCACGCCTGACATGGCCTTTGAGACCATTGTGAAAAAGCAGGTGAAGAAGATTAAAGAGCCTTGCCTGAAATGTGTGGACATGGTCATTTCGGAGTTAATCAATACCGTTAGACAGTGCACCAAGAAGGTAACCTGGGAGTCAGCATGGAGTCCCAACACCGCTCATGTCCACCCGCCCGCTGGCTGACGCACAGCATATGTGATCCGGGCGACGACCCTGCCTGCCTGCCAGTGACACTTTGTCGTTTTTCTAACCACCCTCCTTAACAGCATGACTAGACCTGAGGGAATCCGACTGGGAGCTTCCTAGCCAATCAGAAACAGATGGAAAAGCTTAAGGGGTGTCATCAGCCGCAGCAGCGGTGTCCTCCAGTTCGTTTGACGTGGGGGAGCTCTTAGAGTCCCACTGCAGTTGCACCGTGAGGGAAATGACTGCGCCCTGCCGGCTCTCAAAAAGATCATTGCCATTTTTAAAAGAAAAAGAAAAAGAAAAAAAAGATTGCAATTCTCTCTCTTCTCTAGTACCATTCAACTTGATTTCCACATTAATTTCAATTTGGGGCTTGCTTCAGACCTTCAGCAGTTCAAAATGGGATATGAACAGGTTATAAATTCTTCAGGCGAAGACAATTCAGGGTAGCATGGCAGATGCACATTTAGAGTGATTGCAGCATGTCCTTGCTTCCCAAAATATGATTACCAGCAGTTCGAATGTTGCAAGAGCGACATGCTTCCCATGTCAAGGAAGTGTGTCAGGGCATAGTCTTGCCCCGCCCCTTTGTGAAATCTGGCCAGTTTCCTTCCTTTGCTTTTAAATGTAGTAAACACCTCTGTTAATAAGATCTAATAATTGCTGTGTTGTACCTTGGGGGTCTGTTGACCATATAATCAACTTTAGTTATAATATTGTTCATCCATTCCCTTAAAAATAATTCAAATGCTTTTTAAGATTAGTCGCAAAAAGTGCTGTAGTCTAGAAGGCGACGTGGTGGGTACTAGCCAATAGGTGTCCACCACAGCCAGCTTTTCCCTGGTTCATACTGGAGCATGATGGGAACCTACTACTGGTGTTGTCCCCGTCCCCCCCCCCAGTTCTCTGCAGAACATAAACATGCATGTTTTGGGAAGGCACGGACAATGCTGTCAGACCATCTCTACCACTTTTGAAATGCTACACTGGTCTTCCTCCTTAATGAGTGTGTGAGTGTGTGTGTCTCTCTCTCTCTTAGGGAGCTGTAAATGCAGGTTCTAAAACCTCTGCAGCTCGGCATGATTTCTGATTGGCTTGGTTTGTGTCCTGCCCTGGAACAGCAGCAAGTAGCTGAAGAGAACTTTAAAAAAAAGAAATGTCTCTCCTCTCTTGATTGCTTCGCCACCCTTTCCCAGTCTCTTGGAATGGGTTGTCCTGAAGGTTTCTATCTTCTGTTCTCTTGGATTATGATGGGCTGTTATTTGGGGGGGGGGCACACACGGGGTTGCCATTTTCTCTCCCCAAACCACCTTCCTAAATTCTTGCACTCCAACTCACTAAAGCTGAGAAGTGTCGAGGCCAAAGAGATAGGAGAGACACCATCGTTTCTCTTAGCTATGGCTTGCTGCTTTAGGTAGGCCACCAGGTACTGCCCGCCCCCCAAAGGCATTTGATTCCCTTGAACGTGGGCACTTGGAACCCTCGGCATGTTGGACCAGCTGGCCATTTGGGAACAGGTAACTTCGCAGGGTGAAAGGTGGAGTGTTCTTGAATGTTCTTCGTGGTGGACTGAGGCCGAGTGGGAAACAAGGCTCATGGTAATGCTGGCCAGAGGCCATGAAGACGGGCTTATGTGCCACAGCCCAGATTGGGGGCAAACAAAGAGGGTACACCCCCTCAGAGGTTCCTCAGGGTTCTAGAATGCTGGGAGGAGCTTTCCTTTTTCTACCCTGCTGCCTTCCTTTTGAGGGGTGTGGGTCTGTGGCTGTGGGGAGCACCCAGAAATGTGCCATTTGGGTCCATAGGCTGCCAAGTATACAGCATCATCTAAATAAATGGATCGGAAGGGCCAACCTTTCATGTCCCCCTCCTGCCACCACTCTGTGTTAATTTTCCCATCAGCCAATCACCATTCTCTTTGTTTCTACAAATCCCCTTTCTGTCTGTGCCTTTATTTATTGACTGGCTGATTTGTCCTTCATAACACCCTACATTTTCTTTCTCTCCCCCCTCCACTCCGACCCTACACTCAGAGTAGCTAATTTGTCCCGATAGTGAAATTGCCTTTAAAGTTGACATGAAGGATGG